TATTCTACAATTCGTAAAATAAATGCAATTGCGACTAACTTGACATCAAGTTTAATTCTGGAGATTTTAGTTTACTGTTAACTTTCAGCTTGTCTATGGACCCGCTCTTGACAAATTTGCACAGCCAATTTTTATTCCTATTTTTCCTAATATATTACGTATTTGCTAGCAGACCTTCTTGACTTCCTTGCTTAAGCTAGTTTTGTTCTTTTAAAGCCTTTTCATTGGCACACAATTGGTTGATTGAAGCATCTACGGTGCTATTATTTTTGATCATTAACATTCACCTAGATCGAAAATAAAAGTAATTTTACGATAATATTCCCAAAATTTTAAAGCTTTGGTAGATAAATTGCATCTTCCTTTTAAATTTCTAGTTTTGGATCATTCCCAAGATTTTTAAATGTATACGTATGTGTAGCTACATCGTCACTGTTTTTCTTTTTTTGATAACTAAAGAATTGTAGGAATAAATCATATAATTTTTCTTTAGTTGCACCGTCATGCATTTATGGCCGAATATGTCTTCCTATGGAAAATTGAACTATTTTCTTGAATGAGCCTTTAGGCATCTTGGTAGTTAGGATGAGCTTGCACTGCTTTCTATTTTTATATATTTAGTAAACTCTTTATTGTACTTCAGACTATTGCTTTATCTTCTAAAGTTTTCTGTTCTGTCATAGTTCCTTCTACAATTAAGCTCCAATAATACCTCTAAAAAGTGTGAACAACTTAAGTTTCCATGTGGCCCAACTCGATTTACCTTCTAAAAGTCCAATTTTTATTTTTGTTAGTTCCTTTTTCATCGACTTTAGTGGATAATTTGTTGAAGTAAATTCAAAAAGATGAATACTTAATAATAATAAACCTAAATCAACTTATTTATTTAAAAGGTTACTGACATTCAATATATAAAATAATGACTTTTTTTTTCAATAGTTAGATTAGATTAGATTAGGAGCTGGACGTTACTTGTCCTTGTCCACCGCGACCTTTTCAGATCTATTGTGGAACTCAGCTTGTTCTAGAGTATGTCGTCTAGCCTGGTCTTTTTTTATTAGACTTAGTAGCTTTGACAGTGGCTCAAGCATGTAGTTGCATGCATTTGGCTTTTCTTCGCCCAATGTTAGAAACCTTATTCCAGCCAGGCCTTTACATTGGCACAGGACGTGGAATGATGTTTCCTCTTCTTCTTTAAAGAACCTGCACAAAGTTGCTTCTTCTGCTGGATTTATGACACTCATGTGCCTTTTGAGGCAACAGTGTCCAGTAAGAAGGCCTACTGTTATCCTAACGATTTGACGCTTTTGATCCAGTAGGTCTTTCGTGAACTTGGCCGATGGTTCCTTAATGAACTGTTTGGCCTGTCTCAGTCTTGGATAGTTGTTCCACTATTCCTAAGACTTTTTTGCATCCATTGTGTAATGGATGTCTTGCACAATGCCTTAGCATTTCCACAGAAGGGTTCCGGGCCTGTCATGGCCTTATCTGAGCCTTCTCGGGCTAATTCGTCGGCCTTTTTGTTGCCTTGATATCCTTTATGACCTGGAACCCAGGCTAAGGTCACCTTATTTTGACTATTTAGCTCTGCCAGGTCTTCTAGACAGTCTTTCAACAGTCGTGATTTGATTTCTGGTGAGAGACGTGCCTTTAGAGCTGCTTGGCTATCAGAGTATATGGCATTAGTTTTGCCTGATACTTGCTGATTTATTATTTCTCTTGCACAGTGTTGTATGGCTATTAGTTCAGCCTGGAACACTGTTGCATAGTAAACGGATTCAATAGTTAACAAATGTATATAACTATAAATATATAACTGCTAGAACAAAGAAAAAACATAATACTGTAACTATTTTAACAGATTAGACAGATAGTAAGCAATACATGCTAGCCCTCTGCTAGTAGAGGTATAACAATGCGTCCAATCATCGTTCGCCGACCGAGTTACTCCCTTTAAGCCTATCATGACCAAAAATAATTAAGAATCTCGTCTTTATTCTGCTTGATTCGTTAGTTAATGTATGAAACGACAAAAGTGTAAAGCACAATTGTTTTAGTATTCTTTACTTGCTGTGCTGTTCGTATTTGAAACACGTAAAGCGCTTTCAAAAAAGTTACAAATTAGTATCGTTTTGCTGTTTGCAGTTTTTTGCTAGATCTCCTCTCCGGAAAAGTGTCCTACCCAAATGTTCCCTTCATTTTCCTAATAATTAATTGTGTTTAGGGTGTTGCCGAGAAACTTTTTTTGCCAGATTGTAAGAAACGCCGGGTAGTATATTCGATTTTTTTTGCATTTTTGAGAAATTCGTTGGAATAGGCAGAAAATTTTGAGAACAAGAAAACAGTTTTTATTTTCCAACACGAAAGGAAAATTCCCAAAACGGTTAAATGTGCTATCGAAAAAAAAATTGGTATAGCCAGAAAATTGATAGAAAACTACTTTCCCGAATGAAAATTGAAATTTTTTTAAAAATATTTGATAGAGAAAATTTCTTAATAGACAGACAGACGGACAGAAGGACGGACAACACGTATTTAGGTATTTTTTATAACGTGCAATTTAATCGCAAAAATTTTGAAACTATGATAATGCATTCCAGAATAATTTGGAATTCAGTTACTACAGACTTGACTTATATGTCTGTATTTCTCGTTCATGGCCTACTTTAGAAACATTTTTTGTGATTCACTCTTTATATATAGGTTTATCAATATAGTTTTACCGACAAAAATATCACGAATTTATCAATAGCTTTTGATTTCATTTTCGTTGATATAATAAACTTCCAATTTTCCTTGGAGGGTAGAGATTTGGATTTTATCAGTAATACTCTTTAAAAATTGGCCTCTCGATTGGTTTTAATGGACATTTTCAATTATCTTATGGCAGTAGATAGTATTTTCCCAAAATAATCACAAGTCTTTAAAAAATGCGTTAATGTAAGTTACGAATATTGAAATAAACTGTTTAAAAGGTTAACTTTGTGAGACGTATGAGTTTTACTAGATCGTAAACTTACGTTTTATATATCTTTATAAACTAAGGTAGGTGAATACAACATCGACAAGCTGGCAATAACATCAAAGGTTCATATCCTGGAAGGTTTGGTTTCTGAAAGACAAGTGGCGCTTGATGTACTTTCCCAATGATAAAAGTCTACATTTCAATTTGTGGTGAATTATAATCTTACGTTTTCGTTTAGCACCACAAAGATTGTGCAGGTAAGTGCTTTTTTATCAGCAGTAGTTTTTAGTAAAGAATGAGCTATCAACTAATGGTAGACATTTAAAAATCGTATGTTTTTTTTATCGAAGTAAGCAAGAAACAGTATAAATGTGCGTAATATCGGCAAAATAACCGCGTAGCAATTTCACCAAAATAAACGCGTAGCAATATCGCCAATGGCATGAATATTTTTCATGTTTTCATGAATTTATACTAAAGAATCGTTCATTATTTTACAGAATCGTCATGAATAAACCGAGGTTTTAAAAGGAAATGGTCGGAAGGAAATATGCAGCGTGCCCTAGCAGCTGTTGGAAATGGCGTGTCTGTGAATTCAGCAATTAAGGAATTTTTGGTTCCTCGTAGGACCCTGAGAGACTTC